TAACACAAGTCACTAGGTATTTTGAGAGCGTTACTCTTCAGTCATACTAGTCCCAAGGTTAGAGTTTACGTCTCAGAAGAAAAACGTATACTAGCAAAGGACCCTTCTACAGTGAACTTCAAATGACGCGTGGTATTTAAGGGTTTTCATTCGCTGTATTTGGTTTTTGAGTCCCTTTCTCAACACTTTCAAATAGTGAATCTTGCTATACTAATAAATATCTGTCAAAAACCTCTAATCAAATTAGTCTTTTAAAACATCAAAGAAAATTTTGTTTTAAAGTTAAGGCTTTGAAGCCATGCAAGGACGACTGGAGAATTTCAGAAGAAGAGGAAAAGGCCTCAAAAGGTCTGCTTTACTGTTATAAAAAGGATGATATTTCAAATTAAGTGTCTCTTGAAACAGCTTCAGAACTTCTGTCTCTCAAACTTTTAGAGCCTAATCTCCTCCTAAAGGCAACAATAACATAAGCATTCATAGCAACCAGTAACTAGAGGGATTACATTTCCTTTCTGATATAAAAACGCAGCTGTTCTTCATGCTGTTTCAATGACTTCTTTATACAGAAAAATACAACAGGGCTCTGGTCACGTGTGTTTATTAGTAATATTGTTTGTCATATTTTAACTTCTGAAGGGCAATTTTACAAGATAAAGCAAGCCAATTAACAGAAAACCATGACTACCATATTCCTGATCTTGCACACAGCTCTCAGTCCTCCAAGAGACCCTCTCCTGGTCTGCACAGAGTCTCACTGGCAGTACGCAGAAGATCAGGCCCACCTGTGCAGAATATTTTCCAGGACAAGAGCCAAAATCTGCATGCCTACGTTATAAGCAACTTACTGAAGACTAATAAAACTGTCTGCTTTTACACCTGTAAGGGCAACAAGCAGCTTTTACAACTCGAGTCTGCAAAAACAAGGACACCTACTCTACCGCAACACCACTGCGGGCTTTGAAAAATAACCTCCATACTGAGCACGGTGTACCAGCTGCTCGTTTTTTTGTCATTCAATTACTTCACCACACAGTGAAAGCAACACGCACCAAAACAAGCGGGTCAACCTCGTTAGTAACTGCGCGGAGAAGACAGTTGTCAAGAAACAAAGGGAGCAGCAGCCAAGAGAGAGCTCGGACTGGCCGCCGGGGAGGTCCCGGCCCGCAGGACGCTGCTGGGGCACGACGCTACCC